ATAACCCACAGATTAATAGACAGATCGCCACAGGCCTGCCTAAAGAAGAGACCGCCATCTTCGTGCGATAGACTTTGCCCCTTACCGACACACTTTGCCCCTGGTTCGAGTCCGTGCTAAATTCGTAGACTTGAACCAAAAGACTTTGCCCCTGGTTCGAGTCCGTGCTAAATTTCGTAGACTCGACCAAAAGACTTTGCCCCTGGTGCAAGTCCAGGCTAAATTCGTTTGACATTACCAACAGACTTTGCCCCTGGTGCGAATCCAGGCTAATTGATCATGAGACCAATTTGAGAGATTTGGCCCCCGTTGTGTGTGTGTGTGTGTGTGTGTGTGTGTGTGAGAGAGAGAGAGAGAGAGAGAGAGAGAGAATATTTTACATATATGCATATATATATAAAATTTATTAAATATAAAAAATATATTTTTTACACATAAAATGTTTTTTTATTGAAATAATCACGATTTTAAATGTGATATAACACAGTGTTCAAAAATTTTTTAATTAAATTTTTTAATTAAATTTTATTAAAGAAAATTACTTGAAATTTTTTACATTAAGAATTTAAAGGCTCCTTATTCTCTTGTAGAAATTTATCACTACGCCAATTAATCACTTATTTTGAGTATTTAAAATACTATAATATACAGTAATTTAAGTATTCGAAATAAAAGTGATTAATTACTCGAAATAAGTGATAAATTGGCGTTACTAGTAATAAATTTCTATAAGGGTTGAAATAAAGTATAAGAGATAAATAGGCTATATGTGAGCCGTATGCGAAATGTGAGATGTAAGACGCATATTGAAATTTAATTTTTCGATATAACTTTCAAAAATGTACACGAGGTACAAAAAATTAGCTTGGACATTTGTAAGACTTAAAATTGGGATTAATTCTCAATTCTATTAATTAAATTTCGATATAACACACCTTACATCCGCGCACGGCTCACATATATATAGCCCATTTATTAGTGCAATTTTTAAGTTCCTTATTTTTCAAAGTTCACCTTTTTACGTTATCAAATATTTTTACGTTTTCAAGAATTTTATATTTTTACTTACCGCAGTTTCTTATCCAAATGTAAAATCTTTTATCGCAGTCTATAAAAAATTGAAACAATTTACAATTTTATGATATAATATTATTATTATTACAATTTCTATATATATGCACATCTGTCAAATATCGTGATTTATTTCACATTATTATTATCTATTTTAATAAAAAAAAACAAAAACACTTGCAACAATCAAAAATAAACCGCCTGCCGCGAACGGAAAATGCCAAGAAAGCACGCAATTTCCGCGAATCTCGTAATTTTTTTGAAAAATCAACAATTTCAACGAAATTGTAAATTCTTCAAATCACTGCACAAGTATAATTCACAATAATAATTTTCAGTAACTACGATAAAAAATCGTATACTGAAAACCGCAAACGAAAGTGCAATGGGAGTAAGAGTAAAGTCTGTGATAAAATTAATTGGCAATAGAAAATTAATAATTTTCAAATAGAAAAATTTTGAAATTACCGAGGATTTACAAATAATAAAGTAAAAATATTAAATAATTTATGTTTTCGAATTTTGCTCGCGGAGAGGATCTTTAAAACAAGATTTTTAGAAGAGAGGACCTTTAAAATATAAACAGGCAAAAACGTTGGAAAAATTAAAGCGCGCGTTTAAACAGATAAACGCAATGAAATAAATACGCAATTGTTTTTACTTATCGCTGTAAGCTCACAAGCTTCTGACGTGCTATACACTTTTATATAATATATACAAGGTGTCCGGTAACTAACGGACCAATGATTAAGGGCGGATTCTCTGGCCAATTTGGAGACGATTTTTCCTTAGCAAAAATGTTGAGAAGTCAATAATTTTCGAGTTATAAGCGATTGAAAAAAATAGGTTTTTTGAAAACTAAACGTTTTGGAGTTAAAAGTCTAACATAATTACATTCTTCAGTTAATTTCAGGTAGAGTTTACTATAATAAAATTTTAATTTAAGGCTTAGTTATAAAGATACATAATGACAAAGATTGGAAAGTTGTAAAAAATGATGACCTTTTTCGACATTTTCGCTGAGGAAAAATCGTTCCCAAATTGACCAAAGAATCCATTTGTAATCATTGGTCTGTTAGTTACCGGACACCCTGTATATTGGACACGAGTTTCGTTTGTTTCAGATTCTCGAGAGTTGAAGTAGGAACATACGAGTATCATATATCGTTTGTGACTTGCCGAATGAAAGCAAGACAGAGAGCGAACGAGATGATGAGCTTAATAGCTCATAATGTTATAAATAAATAAATAAAAAATTATAACCTGACCTACTAGTTATTGAATCTTTTTTTAATAAAATGTTTCATTATTATTATCATCTAAGTCTAAGTCGTTTAATTACTTTTTAGTTTTTTAATAATTAATTTAATTTATTCTAGTCATTTTTATATGAGAAAAATAATATCACGTATACGTTTTATAATGAATTAATATATTTCGGGAATCGAATTATATATTCTTAATAATATAAAAGTGTTCAAAAATTATATTTGACTTTTAATTTTAATTATTTTATAGCAAAGAGTTCCGAAATCTCTTACACACATAATGGGGATTTTTTTCATCCATATAATTCGCAATTAAGTATATATGTTAATTATTAATTTTAATAAAATAAAAATTAAAATTAAAGGTCAAATATAATTTTTAAACACAAATATATTAAATTAATTATAAAACGTATACCCATGATAGTATTTTTCTCGTACAAAAATAATTAGAGTAAATTAAATTAATCATAAAAGATTAAAAATTAATTAAAGAATTTAAACTTATATTTTATATAATAATAATAAAACATTTTATTACGTCAAACCGTCGTGAAATAATTAAATAAAATTTGCTAGTTACGTCAAAGTCAAGTTTTCTAAGCTTATAAAACATTTTATTAAAAAACAGATTCAATAAATATAAGTACATGTTATATATATACTTATATTTATTGAATCTGTTTTTTTTATAAAATGTTTTATTATTATCATATATAATATAAATTATTTAATTATTTTTTAATTTTTTTATGAGTAATTTAATTTGTTCTAGTTATTTTTGTACGAGAAAAATACTATCACGGGTATACGTTTTATAACGAATTAAATATATTTATTCAGAAATAAATATTTTTATCGGCTCTCAATATAAAGAATATAAGTATGCTGCCTTCTAAGCCGGGCAATAGAGCCAAGGAAACGAAACGAAAATTAATTAAACGGAACTGTATCTCAATTTGAGATCCCAAAGTTCCACATATAAATTAATTTCGAAACTTACATATGGAGAAATAAGCGAGAAAAATATAGGTCCGAAAAGTCGCTGAAGCGGGAATCGAACCCGCGTCTTTCACTTTCCGGGCGACTGCTCTTACCAACTAAGCTATTCAGACCCTTTCGATCCCATATTTTTCATTTGCCTTTTAAGTAGATGTTAGTAAATACCGCCGTGATTAGCCCAGGCGTGAATAAACTCAGAAATAAATATTTTTATCGGCTCTCAATATAAAGAATATAAGTATGCTGCCTTCTAAGCCGGGCAATAGAGCCAAGGAAACGAAACGAAACGACTGGTAAGAGCAGTCGCCCGGAAAGTGAAAGACGCGGGTTCGATTCCCGCTTCAGCGACTTTTCGGACCTATATTTTTCTCGCTTATTTCTCCATATGTAAGTTTCGAAATTAATTTATATGTGGAACTTTGGGATCTCAAATTGAGATACAGTTCCGTTTAATTAATTTTTCGTTTCGTTTCCTTGGCTCTATTGCCCGGCTTAGAAGGCAGCATACTTATATTCTAAATATATTTATGTTCAAAAATTATATTTGACCTTTAATTTTAATTTTGTATTTTATTAAAATTAATAATTAACATATATACTTAATTGCGAATTATATGGATGAACAAAATCTCTATTATGTGTGTAAGAGATTTCGGAACTCTTTGCTAAAATAATTAAAATTAAAAGTCAAATATAATTTTTGAACACTTTTATATTATTAAAAATATATAATTCGACTCTCGAAATATATTAATTCATTATAAAACGTATACGTATTAGTATTTTTCACATATTAAAATGATTAGAATAAATTAAATTAATTATTAAAAAACTAAAAATTAATTAAACGACTTAGACTTAGATGATAATAATAATGAAACATTTATTAAAAAATAATTATAATAGGTCAGGTTAATATTTTATTTATTTATTTATTTATAACATCATAAAATTCTGTCCTTTCCGAAATACGCGAACGCTACGAAAAGATAAATCTCGTACATGCCGCCGGACGAGTTCATGAGCATGAGACGCTCTTATCTTGGGAACGTATTAATAGTTACTGCATTGACTACTACTACGATATGGCGCTGAAATCAGTGAGAAATGCTGGTCTCTCCTTCATCCAGACCTTTGGCGATCTGTCTATTAATCTGTGCTGTAACTTCGTTACAAGTAACGAGTTACTTCCCAACCCTGTATATATATATATATATATATATATTATATATATATATATATATATATATATATATAAGAATTGCATGTAAATATATAAGCAAAAAAACAAATATATATATATATATATAATATTATTGTGTTCAAACTATGTGATAAAAATAGACACAATTATGCATGTATGTTTTACTGTTATTGACACGCTTAGATAAAAACGCGTGTGCGAGATGATTCAACAGTAAAAATATATTATGTTGTCAAAAAAAATATAATATGTTGAACACAATAAAATTGTTTTTTTTTTTGACATGCATGTAAATTAATATTTTGAAACTGCCGATAATAGCGAAATTAAAATTGTCAATAATTATCAACAATTTTAGTTCCGCTTAGATGAGGGCGCTAACCCGTCGGAGTTCGGCCAATGCTCCGGCATCCCCATAGGTTGTGGAATGAGTCAGTGGAGCTCACTAGTCCACCACAGTACGCACAGTGTGGAAGACGTGTATAGAGTGTGTATATCAAAATACTCACCAATCCTCTCTAAAATTGGCAGATAAGTAATATATTAGTGATTTTCGTGTTTTATAAAACAGGATATATTAATTGTATACGCGAATAATTTATTACGATTACTTTAATTATTTTTCTGTATTATATTTAATAATTCGTAATGGTTAAAACGATAACGTGCTTACCTGATAATATAATACTGATCATTCTAAGCTACAGTGATCACTCTTGAAGATATCATTAATTTGAGATGCGTCTGCAAGAAATTACAGCATGCAGCCAAATGTGACGATACGTTTCTGGAGAAAAAGTTTCTTCAAAGGTATTTCTTTTTGTTTGTAGAATTATTTTATTTCATTAGCCTTTAGTTTTACTTTTCCAGTTTAGTTTTTTTATAGCATAATAAAACATATAAAATATAAATAATAAGATGCTGGAAATATATATATATATATATATATATATATATATATATATATTTATATAACACGTTTGCTTATTAAAAATAATTTTAAAAACAATTATTTTAATTCTGATTAAATTATAGTATAATAAGGATTCAAAACTATAAATTCGAGAACATTCCGATTTTTTATTCTATATGTATTTCTTAATGCGTTTGCATCATTTTAAATGTGAATTTAGTAAATTAAAGTTTATTCTTATTTATCTTAGACACACTTTATATTAAAAATTAGAAATTTTAAATATGTATTTTATTAATTTAAATATTTTATTTTATCATTTTATTAATTTTTTTAAATTGTACTATTATATAAAATGTAAAAATTAAATAATTTATTATATTTAACTAATATAAGGCCGTACCGTAAATATATAATTTTCCCTTGTTCTTTTTCTTATTATTTTATTGTATATTTTTAGTGTAAAATTTAATTACAATTTAAAATTTTAAATTATATATTTCATATTTTCTATTCAACAACAAAAAGATTTATATTTCAACTAATATTTTAAATATTATGCATTTTATATAATTTATTCTTCTGAAAATTTATTAGATATAATAACACTGTTATTAGTGTAATTTTTAAAAGAGTAATAAAATATATTTTGTCTAACAGATGGCCTTCTGCGAAGAGACTTTATGATAAACAACTTAATGAAAATAAATGTAAGGAAAAAAAAACAGAAAGAATTTGCAAAACCTACACAGAAGAATGAAAAAAACTTATATAAAGAATTTATAAAAACAGGCATAAATGCTGCGAGACAATTATACAATTTTAAATCTGAAACACTTCAACAATATTATATTGACAAGAATTCAATCGATAATATGATCAAATTTGATTGCATATTTAATTTTAGTTTAAATCCCATTGATAATATAATTAATGAAAATTTTTAACGTATTATTTTATTATTGATGAGATTAAAAACTTGCTTATACAATCTCTACAGTAAGATATATATCATAGCTCCATTAATTTTATAGATTATAATATAATTGTTGCACAGTTTTTATATAATTGTTGCATGAACATTTTTTACAGAAATCCTAGTTGGAATCTAAGTGAAAGATATTGGATTATAAAAATGCTTCATTATATTAGGCATCTTTCGGTGAAGAAGGAGTACAGTAAATTTATAGAAAAATCTAACAAGAAACAACTTTTAGAACAGATTGCTACTTTTTTGGCACAATGGTTACAACCTGAAAAGCATGTATCTTACTCATACATAAAAGCATCATTAGATAAGATCGCACGACAAGCATTGAAATACCTCGGAGTAAATTATCACAATCATTCAATATTCTTGACATCCGTCACAACTTTTATTAATTGGAGAAACAATAATATCGAGAATAATTATTGGAACCAAGCAGAAGGTACGCAGATAATGGATACACTCCAGAAATATATAATTGGTAAATTAAACTTTTGACCATGCGATTCGACAGACACAAATTTGGAAAACATATGCATAGATAATGTAAGTTATTATAGATTTATATTATAATTATATTATGTTTGTTTTATATCTTACTGCAATTTATTTTTATTTATCACAGGTTTTAGAAAAGAAACGTGGCCACGAAATAATTATATTCATAATATATCACAGCGTAGCCAGGAGACTTGGTCTATATTGCAATCTGATAAATGTACGAATGTGCGAGGTCTCTCATTACTGTTTATTTTGGAAACCTAACTAGTAAGTACACAGTTTGAAAATTTGTGTTCTTTTTTTGTTAAAAAAGGGCTCTTGTTAAAATTTTTTATATTTAACTTTATATACTTAATATTTATTTAATATTTATTGTGTAAATATTTACACATGTCATGTGTGTTAATTTAATATATTACTGCTGTGATATTAATTGTACTCACATATTAAATTATTAAAACAACGGAAAAGAAGTGTAAAAATAACATAATAAGCATCTATTTTTTGTTAAATTAACTCAATTAACTTAAAAATTTCTGCAGACTGTTTATGAGACATGTGATAATTGTTAAATTTAACACAAATTTTTCAATTATGTATATAATAATAATTGGAATTATCTGAACCTTTCGGCATTTTTATTCTTATACAAACACTTATACATATATATAATTTTATATTGTTCACAGTTCCACGAAGAGTTTGGAAAATGCAAGATGTTTTAATATAATTTCAGAACAATTCCCAAATTGTCTCCTCGATCAACTGAAGATACTTGAAACAATGTATTTTAAGAGAAATGTTAATATTCCAATAACAAAACAACCTAACAAAGTTGGTAATTATTTATATATGGTCTCATCTATATATTAATTTTAACTAATTAATATACTTTTACCTTAACAAAGATATAAATTAATGAAATATACTTTATATTTTACTAGCAGATTAAATTACATATTATCTCTTATTTTTTCATTTATTTTCAGAACTCTGTTCATTTAATTCTTGCTCATGTTTAATCGTTTTTTTCAGATTTTATTTGGAATAATGGAACTATTTGCGTTTTTGACTAATGTACGTTTCGGGGTTAATCCGCATGAACATGGCATGCACGTGGTAAATCGGAAGATATGCTACTACTGTTAATAATTAAATAATAAAAATAAAAATGTAAAATATCTTTATGAAGTTTATCTCCGATATTATTTACAATTATAAATTTTATAATAATCTATAATAAATAAGCTGTTATCTCTTATTTTAATCAGCTGTAATTCAACGTGCTACAAAAGTTTAATATTTTAGGACTTGCTTTGCAAGATGAAATAACAATTCAAATATAATCTTGCATTTTCCAGCTTAGCCTTAATTTTAAAAGTACAAAGCAGTTAAATAGACCAGAGGAAATAAGATTTGCGGTTGGAATGATAGTTACACATACCAATAGTGATCAATTTACAGATAGTTGTACCGGCGTGATAATCGGATGGCATCGATATAAAGATAGACACGTTACATATTTGTCCGCAAGCGATGTAATAAATATGGATATATGTGTATTGCCGTTGAACCACTGTTGTAATTGTCATGCTATAAAACAAGAAACTAATTATTATATAATTCTTACCCAAAATAATAAAATGTGTTGCGTGGAGGAAGGTATGAATATCATTAGACGAGTCTTTTATAATTATTATATAAAATAATATTTTATTTTGATTTTTTTTAAATATAGTTATTTTATTTATTTTATTGGTCGAGATAAAGGTGTATATTGTGTTTTTATTTTATTTATCTTATTTAATTTATTTAATTATTTAATTTTATTTATATAATTTATTTTTATATTTATTTTGTTTTTATTTTATTTTATTATCTTAATTGACATATTTCTTATTTATATATTATATGATATATTTGATATATTTCTTATTTCATTTATTTATTTGGTTTAAATTCGTAATTATAATCTTTTTTTTGTATTTACATTTTTTATTTTAGATCATATAACTTTAACAACGCCGCAATGGATCAATAATAGCGAAATTGGTCGCTATTTTTCTAAATTCGAAGGCACGCATTACGTGGCAAATAAAATGCTAAAAAGACTTTATCCGTATGATGCCTTTGTAATTGCTCGAAATATTAGAGAATTGATTAGAGAAAGAAATTTCAAAAAAGAATATGTGAAAATTAGTAGTATAAATTAATAGTTTAAGTAGTCATAAATTAATAAATCACATTATACAATATTTAGAATGTACAAATGTTTTGAAAAACTTATATATATAATTATTATATTAATTATATTAGACAACACACACACACATACGCTATTTAAAATGAAAAGATAACAAGGGAAGCCGGAAATACTGATTTTAATGAACTATTTGTATATTATTATCTGAATCAAAATTAGAGTCATATATTTTTTTCATTTTATTAATGATTTCTGTTGTGAGAATAGAATACTCTCTTAAAAAATCGGTTTTAATTTTTTAATAAATACTGTTGAAATGAAAAAATATGAAAAAATGTTTCAAAAGTTGTATAATTTACTTTAAAATAGTGCAACTAGATTTTTTTTAGAAAACATTGTAGTTTTCAATTAACTTTTTAATTAATTCTTTCTTAATTTTCAAAAAATTATGAAAGTTTTGAGATTTGTTTTACTATAAAAGTTAAAGCCAAATATTTAATGCCAAATTCAACAATATATGATATAACCATTACAAAAGTCCTTTCTTTAGAAATAAGCTAAAAATTTCTATATAAAAAACGCATCACATATATTAATTGAAATATTACAATTTACGTCTTTTTATATTTAATAGTAAAATTTATTATAATTTATATACATATATATTATATTATATTGTATTATAATTTATTATATTATATTTATATTATATTTATATTATATTATATTTATATTATAATTTATTATATTAGATTTGTATTTATATTTAATATATAATTTATACATATATATATATATATATATATATAATTAATAATTTATCTATTTATATATACAATAAAATTTACACACTACAATTTTGATTGCATTTATATGAATTGAACTTTTCATGTAATAATAAAAATATGCCATATCACACCCTTATCTGTATAGTTTGGAAATCAAGGTAGAAAGTATAATATTAGATTTGAAATCTAGATCACATTCAGCATTTTATTTTTTTTTTATCACACTTATGCATACATATTGTTCATAGTATCACGAATATTTCAAAAAATGCAAGATGTTTCAACAATTTTTACAAACAATTCTTGGATTGTTTTATCAACCAACTGTTGCTGTTTTGGTTATTATATTCCAGCACAAATTCTTCTGAATTTTCTGTCTTAAAAACTGTAAAAGTTGGTAATTAATCATAGGGTTTTTATTAATTTTGACACTAATTAATGCATTGTTAACTTAAATTAGATTTATTTAGGCAGAAAGAATTTTCAATATTTTATCCAATTATCTCATCTTCTTATTTTTTTATTTGTAATCAGAGCTCTGTTCGAAGTTAATATCTGCTCGTTTAGTCATTTTCTTCAGATGTGATAAAGCTAAGACAATAATTAATTACATATTTGAAAAGAAAAAATCTAAGATGTTTGAGATTAATCCAAAGGAATTATAATTTTAATTATAATTAGTGTACTAAACCATAAAGTATATGCTAGAGAACTATATGTATATATTGTATATTAATAAATAACAATAATAAAGAAGAATCTCTAGAGGGTTTTCTCTCTGATAACACATACAATTCTATATAAATTATAATTACCAATAATAATTTAACCAGCTCTAATTAGTTTGATATAAAATTTCAAAAGTTAATAATGTATTTAAAAATAAATTAACAAGACATAGCAATTAAAATCTGGTATTATTCTTACACTTTCCAGTTCATTTTTCGTTGTATAAAAACAGAGCACTTAAATACAAGATCAGAGAATATAAAATATGCAGTAAGAAGAAGGGTTACATATAATGTCAAACTTACAGATAGTTTAGTATAAATACAACAATGATAATCAGATATTATCAACATGTATAGTATATTGCGTTCATTATATCAAACCCTTATGTTCTACATCTGTTAAACTTTTTAGTGAAATGTGAATTTAATTACTATATATTAATTATTAGTCATTTCTTAATTCAACATTACATATTACATAATTCTTGAAAATAATAAAATATGTTACTTGAAAGAAAGTAACAAATGATATATTGCTATTTTGTGCTTCTATTTGCCTTCGTATATTTTAAGAAAATGCACATCAGTAGGTAAAAAGGTAAAATATTCGTTAATTTCGAACTTCTTTCCTGCGTGCGCACGATGTGACGGTTAACAAAAGGATATTCCTTCTTTTTCTAGACAAGGAGAAAGTTTCATTTTTCAGTTCTTCAGAATAAAAATAGACGTGGAGTAGACAGTATCTGTATATAGTGTTCATGAAACACGTGTTTGTGTTCTCTGCAATCGCGGTAAAACAACAGATAGAGATATATTATTGATGTGCTTCTAAAAACAGAGAGTTAATTACGCGAATAAATTATTTTCTTTTACTTTAATAATTTTCCTGAATAATTTTTATAATGCGGCTACATTAACGCGCTTATCCAACGAGGTTATCGCCATTATTCTTGTGTTTTATTGAAATTTTTTCATAATGACTACGATAACGTGCTTATCTAACGAGGTGATACGGATCATTCTTACGTTCAAAGATATCACTATTGAAGATACTATTAATTTTAGATGTGCCTGCAAGCAATTTCAGTATGCAGCTCAAACTAAGAAGTTTCGAGAACAAAAGTTTTATCAGAGGTATTTTTTTTATCTGTAAATTTTTTGTCATTTTATTTCATTAACAGCAGGGAGTATTACTTGTAAAAAAATATATTTTAGAAAAATAAAATTAATATATGTAGAATATTAAAAATAAAATGTAATAAAATAAACATATAAAACTTTCAATAATTAATATTAAAACACGTAGGAAAATAGGCTAATAATGAAAGACAAGATGTAGAAAGCAGTGCGAACAATGATCTTTAAATAATTTTCTTCATTATTTAATTTATTCCGTTTAAAACTAAAACTAGATTTTAGTAAAATATATTTTTTAAGAGTTATTTTTTGTAATAACTATTTTTCTACATCTTTGCTTTCAATCCATTTTCCTATTTATTTTGATAATATGTATAATAAAATAAAATATATTAAAAATTAGAAATTCTGCACTTTTATTTTATTAATTATATTATCTAATTTTATTATTTTTCTTAGATTAATTTAGTTATTAAATTATATTATTAATTAATTAGATAAATTATATTTTATAAATATTTCATATAATAAAAAATTAAATAATTTTTATATAGTTTATTACATAATAAGAATGTAACGTAAGTATGAGTTTGCCTATTTGCATTTATTATATTGTATATTGTAATGTAAAATTTAATTATAATTTAAAATTAAAAATTATATTATATATTTTTCGTATTAAAATAAAAATAATTGTTATTGTGATTTATGCTTTAAATATACATATATTTAAAAAAAATTATTGCTTTGAAAATTCATTATACTGGTGCAATAACATTGTTTAGTATAATTTTCAAAAATTTATTAAAATAGGAGTTGTGGAAATAATCGACCAAACTAGCAAGTAATAATTGTTTATTAAATTTCACGAAGGTAAAGATGTGCTATCTAGTAATTGTGCGACTAATGTCGTTTATAAAATTGACTGCAATGACTGTACCGCATCATATATAGAATAAACGAAGAGACATCTTCCCAGCAAACACCAAGTAACAATTATAAAACTGTTAGTTATAATTTCCCACTCAACAATATAAATGCAATATAATACGTGTGTTATATTGCATTTATATTGTTGAGTGGGAAATTATAACTAACAATTATATAATTGTTACTTGGTGTTTGCTGGGCTAGTACACAAATTAAGGAACTTATAGAATTATTGTCATAATATTAAATTACATCATAGTTCACATTCGGTTATAAGTAAACATCGATCTGAATTTGAACATAATTTTGATTGGAATAGATTTAACATTTTACACACGGAAAAACATGTAAGGAAAAGAAAGATAGCCGAAATGTTTTATATATTAAAAAACTCAACAACAACATAAACTCACAGAAGGATACAGAGAGTCTAAACGATATATATAATTAAATAATTAAGGTCGTGTAAATAATCTCACTTAAAATACACTAGAATCTGACGATCCTTTGTTGGGATATATTGTGGCTATCTCACATTTTCAATTTAATTTTAATTTTGACTTGTATATTTCTCACTAAAGATTGCTATTGATTATTGCTGTATGATGAGTTAATTATTACTAAATTAACTTGTAAGTATTACGTTCGTTTCCAATTGCAAATTTTATATTAGTGTTTCGTTGATAATAATAATATATGTAATAAATTATTTTAGTCTCACTGAAAAAGGACCACGCAACCATATAGTCGAAACGTCATGAAATTTAATAAATGATTATTACTTGCTAATTTAGTCAATTATTTCCACAACTCCTACTTAAATAGTGATTGTCATTATTAATTGAGATTTATTTATTAAAATATTTTTTGTTTGTATTGCAGATGGTCTACTGCAAAGAAACTTTGTGACGAGATTATGCTTAAAGAAAATGAACTAAAGGAGACTAACGAAAACGTACAGAGGAATAAAAAAAGCTACAAACTAAACTTTATACAAATGGGAATAAATTGTTCCAGAGATTTGCGAAATTATATGTCTCAAATAATTTTTCAAGATTATGTTGATAGAGGATTAAACAAATATAATTACATTATGTTAATCAATACATTAATAAAATTTGAAGATGCAAATTGTTTAAATAAATTTTTAAAACAATTTTGGAGAAACTTTAGCATTTATAAAAAGATTAATAATGATATGATAAAATATGTTTTCTATATTGATGAGATTAAAAACTTGCTAACACAATTTCCACGGTATAATTTTTAAGATATAGTGCTATTAATTTCATAAATTTATATATACTTACTGCTCAGTTAATATATAAATTTTGCAGAAAATCTAATTACAATCTAACCGAAAGATCTTACAAAATATTGTTAAAACAGATAAAGGATAATTCGATAAAACAAACGCATCATACTTATTGGTTAGTAAATACAAATTTTTAGTTAATATAAATTTAGTTAATAAATTTTATTATTTTTTATTATTAAAAAAATGTGTCTAATTGTTTTATTTTCAGGAAAGTTACTCGCGATTTAATCGAAAGATATAGTAATGTAAAAAAAGATCACTTTCTAAAATTACAATCCTTAAAAAATATGTGGAATACATTTATAACACAAAATGACCGAGAACAACTTTTGGAATGGACTGCTTTTTATTTTGCACAGTATATTCAACTAAATAAGGATGTATCTTATTTGCATATAAAAACGTCATTAGATCACATAGCAAATGAGGTGATGAATTGCCTCAGAAAGAAGTATCCCAACCATTCGATATTCTCCACGTCTGATGAAACTCTTTCCTATTGGAAAAACAATAATATCAACAATAATCATTGGAACGAAGCGGAAGGAATTCAGATTATGGATACACTCAACGAATATATATTTGGCAAATTAAACTTTCGACTATGCAAATTGACAGACACAAATTTGACAAACATGTGTATAGATAATGTAAGTTATTATAGATTATAATATAATATTATTGGCCATATATGTTTGTTATATATTAAATTTTTTTTTTGTTTTTCGATTAATTTCTATACATACAATGTCTGCCGCAGGTTTTACTACGTAAATGTGGCCAAGAAATAATTTTAGTGATTATATATCACAGTGTGGCCAGGAGACTTGGTCTACGTTGCGATATAATAAATCTACAACATTCCATATACCATATTCGCTACAACATATTTTGGAAACCAAACTAGTACGTATAATATTAAATTCGGAATTATCTGAATTTTTCGCATATTTTTCTACTTATCATACTTACTCACACATATATATGTATATAGTTTTTTATTATAAAAATTTTATTAAGATAACAATATTTTTATTGTTTACAGCGTCACGGAAAGTTTAGAAAATGCAAGATGTTTTCACATACGATTCAAGAAATTTCCGAATATTTTTGTCGACCAACTATTAATATATAGATCGTATTTATTTTCTTGGTGGACAAACAGCCGTACCACTCCAATAAAAGCTATAGAGGTTGGTAATTATTTTACTGTTGTATGATTTCTGTTAATTTCAACAGTAATTAATATTTTTGTAATTTTGGCAATGATGAGTCAATGAAATACATTTTGTATACATATAGACAAAAAGAGATATAATCTCTCATTTTTTACAGAGTGTCCATAGGAAAATACTGAAACTAATCAGCTGCTAATTTTTAATATTTTAATACATACATATATTGAGAAAATAAAAATTGTGTTGAAAAGAGAAAAGCATTTTTAATGCATATAAATAAAATGTTTGTATATTAGTTTATTTTATTGATTAAAAGTAATGAAAAAAGTGTTAATAATCACATAAAATCACATAAACTAATGATAAATATTTTCAACAATGCCAGATTTAATAGCAGCTATTAAAAAATTCGCCAATAACATTAAAAATGACATGTTAGAAAAAGTTTTTACGAATTTTCGTAAAAGAATGAAATTTTGTACAAATTCAAATGGTGTGCACTTCGAAAATATTTAGCATAAGTTTACATATGTGATTATTAACACTTTTTTATTACTTTTTAGCAATAAAATAAAATAATGTACAAACATTTTATTTATATCTATTAAAAATTGAAAACACTTCTATTTTCAACACAATTTTTGTTTTCTTAATAACTGTATGCATTAAAAAATTGCTGATTAGCATTTTCTTGTGGGACACCCTGTAATTTGTAATCAGAACTGTTTATATTTAATCTTTCTTCATATTTATATTTTTCTTTTAGATGCGAGACAAGAAGATAACTTTGATTAAGTATTTGAGAAGTCAATCTATATTATTCCGTAAAGAAATAATGCCCAAGTGTTTGGTTTGAGTGTAATAAACCTTAAGATATGCATTATAACAAATATTGATACGTATACTAGAGTAAATAACTAATTGAAAATTTTAAATACTTTTATCTTTAATTTATAATTTATTTTATTTATTATTTATTAAAGATATAAAATTCACATACTTACATTATTTTTTTATGTACTTTCCATGGAGTGCAATTTAAGTCTTCCAACGCTTCGTGCACAAATACCTCTAGAAAAGAGATCTTTTATTTGATGCACCAATTTCTCCTCTTCTTTGGACCTAAGACTTGCTTCCTATCGTTTGAATGTTTTCCATATTTGCCATATTCATCTTGCTCTCAATTTTCATTTCTTTATTCTTCATTTATTTCTACTATTTTTATCAAAATACAGATTTTTTACCAATGATAAAGCAATAAAAGTGACTAAAAACGTAATTTTTTTCATTCTCTATTCTTCTACTATGATGTTATTATTGGAATATTAGACACGTATAAAATATTGTACATATAATACTAAAATCATGTATTATTTTATCAAATAAATTTACAATTTTAACACGTTATACGAAAGAGTGTTAAATCATTTAATACTTCACCGAATATTTTTTACAATTTTAATAATTCGTACTGAAAAAGAGTAAATAAAGTCAAAACGTATATGTTAATTAATTAAGGAAATAAATAAAGGACCAATTTTGTATCTTTTATATAGGATTGACCATTTTATTATATGTAATTATAATATATAGGATTAATCATTTTATTATATGTAATCAAATATATTCTTGAAGAGTAGGTCTCTGTTGGCTCTAATTTTTATATGTTGAATATTTATCTACATTTAGATTTACTTGATTTGTAGACCAACTCTAGTCTGACTTCCCTCGCTTTTGCCAGCTTTTTCAGTTGTTCTAGGGTAAATAAATTAATCAAAATAATAAATAAATCAAAAATAAATTAATCAAACTAATAAAAACAATTCGCATTGTAATAAAATAAATAGAATGTAGAAATGTTTAATTAACTTACTGTTTGGATTGCTGATCACGATTATTGTTATTGGTCTTATTTTGGGTGGTCCAATTTTGCGTTTCTTGCCGGCCAAATTCTGAGTCCTGGGGTTAAATCGATTTCTATTTAAAATATTGTTGTTTCTATCCATTTTTGTTTTATAAATCTTTTTCACTTGTAAAATATATATTTGATGATATAAATTACTACAAGTTCTTATTTTTTTTAAATGTGCGCAAATCTGAAAAAAACCTTTGCGAAAAACTTCTCTCAAGGATCGAACTGCTATATACACCCTTTAGGCCGGAGCAGCGACCCCCACTTACGCTCTATCTCAGGGACGATCTGTAACACGATGCCGTTCCGTATTCTTTCTCTAACTTTAACTAAATATTTTGAGTATTTTAAAATATTTTAAAATTCGATTGGTCAAAACTTGCTTTTTAAATCTTATTTTGTTTTTTTTTAACAATTTATTTTTACTCCTCCATGCTCTTTTTTCGGTTAACTTATCAAATACTTTGTAAGTATGTATATACATGTTTATATATATATATATATATATATATATATATATATGAGATACATATATGTATATATAATATATGAAAGTCACCACGCTTGGCTATAAGCAATAGAACTGGCCAGATATCTTTCTGTATTTGTAACAGCGTCCGAACTGCATCATGGGTGACACGCTTGGTTCTAAAATGGACTATATCTTGAAAACTAAAAGCTTGCCCATCTTGGCCTTGGAAGCGTTTTAAAAGGGAAGATTTCTACTTTTTTTTAAGATTTTTTTGAAGAAAATCGAAGATGTCTAAATTTGAGAAAAAATTGATTTTTACTTTGTTTTTTGAAAATCTTATATAAATTGTTATTGAAAAAAAACTAATTTTACAAGATTAAAGTACGTAAAAAGATCTTTCGAAATCACATCTTATTTTTTAAAATTGAAGTAATCTTCTGAAATTTATCAACGTTTGAAGTTGGACGTAATGGTTAAAACAATAAAAATTACCCAAGTAGAACATATTAGTCACAAAAACATCAAGATGACATCTTTTTTTGATCATTTTTTTGCATCACGGTGACGTCAAAATGGCCCACCGAGAGCACCTATTCATGACATCATTAAGACATCAAAATGACGTAAAAATGATCTTGTTTTACAAAGCAGAATTAATTAGATATTATACATTAAAAGTAAATTAAAGTAATATAATAGTATTTTAGCTAACAAATGCCGGAAATCGGTCGAGAGTGCGGAAGTTGGGCGCACGAGGCGAAACCAAGTGTGACCATCCGCACGATCGGCCGATTTTTGATCCGCACATGTGTTGACTACAATATTTTATGCAATCAGTGCCTGGAAAAGGACCCCTTTCTAAAATCGCCTTATGTGCGGAAAGGGCCACTTTTCAGGCGCTGATTGCATAAAATAAACATAATAACATGTAAGACATATAATTACATGTAAAGAGATTTCTTTTTATTGAAATTTACATATGGAATTTACATGTATCATATAACAGAGAGATAAAGAAATTATATAAATTTTGAAGTATATAAAATAAAAAATATTGAAGATACTGAATAAAACTAAAATGCTCTAATAATCCATACATAAACCAAAAAGTCTTTGTTAATTATTAAAGATATTTAGAAAAATTAAATGTACTAATACTATATATACTAATAATAATTGTTAATTATTAAAAATATTTAGAAAAATAAAATGTACAGTAAAACCTCGTTTATCCGGCCTTCGATCAACCGAATCTCCGCGTTATCCGAGCCACCGGACTTATCCGAGCACTCCGCGTTAACCGAGCTGTGCGCTCGGATAATACGGAAAAACTCGGATGAAACGGATGACGCTTCGCTGCTATGCGATGCGCGCGAAGTACAACATACATAGTTTGCGATCGCTACTTTTTTGTTTAAACACGCACGAGCTTGTTAGTAGTACACGCTTTGTTCTCCGCGGTTGTGAGGTAGAATTTAACAGTTGGGCTTCAACAGTCAATGAAAAAACATCGTGTACATACATACATATGTCGCAGAAGCGAAAAAAAGTCGTCGTGAGTGTAGAGAAAAAGTTGGAAGCAATTAGAAGATTGGATAGAGGAGAAATCATTCGCAATGTCGCGGCTGATTATGGTGTTGGAGAGACCACCGTTGGCGATTGGCGTCGAAATCGATCTAATTTAGAGCAATTTGCAATAAAATCGGACGGTGCGATGACTAGTCGTAAAACGATGAAACCGGCAGAGTATGATAAAGTTGATAAAGCTTTATTTCTATGGTTCACTCAAATGAGAGAAAAGGGACTGCCAGTATCAGGTAAGCACACCCCGGAGTTTGAAGATTCGTCATCGATACAATATCGTTTTTCCCCCTTCAGGCTCCATTTTACAGGCAAAGGCCATGATGCTTGCAAAGCAGTTTCCCGACGAAAGCGAAACTTTTACGGCAAGTTGCGGATGGCTCGACAGATGGAAGAAAAGACACGCTATTCGTCAGTTAAGCATCTGTGGCGAAAAAATGTCAGCTGATGAAGGCGGATTGAATGAATTTAAAGAAGAATTTAATAAGCTTGTAGAGGAAGAAGGATACTTGCGGGATCAAATTTATAACTGCGACGAGACTGGTCTGAATTTTCGAATGATGCCTTCTAAAACATTGGCCTCGCGAGAAGAAGCGGTTGCTCCGGGGTACAAAAAGAACAAAGAAAGGGTCAGCATTTTAGCATGCAGTAACGCGTCCGGTACACACAAACTTCCGTTGATGTGTATCGGGAAATCGGCTAAACCGAGAGCAATTAAACACATCAAACCGGAAGCCTTGCCAGTTTACTACGCGCATCAAAAGAGTGCTTGGATGAGTCGCGATCTTTTCCAAAAATGGTTTTTCGAACAATTCGTCCCTTCGGTTGAGAGATTTTTGAACAAAAATGGTCTTCCAAGAAAAGCTATTTTGTTACTCGACAACGCTCCATCACACCCGAACGAGTCGGTTCTCAGAAGTGACAATATAATTGTAAAATTTTTTCCACCGAATGTAACCTCTATTGGACAACCAATGGATCAAGGCGTACTCGAGACTTTCAAACGTCATTATCGACGTTTTTTGTTGCAAGAAATTCTGGAAAAAAGTGCCGCGGGTAGTACTCTTAAAGAATGTTTGTTAGCAATAAATATGAAAAGTGTTATTTACTGGTCAGCTCAAGCTTGGGATGCTGTCCAAAGGCTTACGCTTGAAAGATCATGGGCAAAAATCTTGTGTTCTAACAATCAAAGCGATAAAATAGCAGACGATGTAGATCTACATAGCATCATGGAGCAGATTCCTGGTTGTGAAAACGTCGAAAGAAACGATACTGAGGAATGGGTTCATGGTGACGATTGTGAAGAAGAACTTACAGACGACGAAATTGGCCAACTCGTAAATTTTGGAGAAGAGATCGCGGATGATATAGAAGACGGCGAAGCGGAAGAAAGTCCGGTAATCAGCCACGAAGGATTAAATGCGCTTGAACTAGCTCTCAAATATATCGAGGAACAGCCGGAAAGTACTGCAAGTGATCTCTTATTGATGAAACGATGGCGAGATATTGCAGCTAAAAAACAAATGAGCAGGTTGAAGCAGTGCTCTATCACTGACTTTCTTAAACCACGTTTGTAATATGTACATAAGTATGTAATGCTTGTTACGTGAAAAATTAATCCACGTTCGTTAGTTTTTCATTTTTATATGTTAATGTGGTTAAATTCTCTTGTTACCATTTTAAATATATTGATTTGTCTTTCGAGGAGCACGTGAACTTATGCACGAGTCGTGCTTACAAGACGCTTGGATTTATAATGAGAGCATGTAAATATTTTGTAAATATTAACACGGTGCGGCTATTGTTTTGTGCGCTGGTTCGGCCGAAGCTGGAATATGCACCGGTTCTGTGGACTCCATATCAGCAAAATCTTTGTGTCCGGATTGAAAGAGTCCAACACAGATTTCTTCGTAGGGTTAGTTATTATACAGACCGTCCGATGTCTTACTCTGATCATACATATGATATTATTCTTAATAAAGTTAGATTAATTACATTAGAAGATAGAAGAATTTTTATGGATTTAATGTTCCTATATAAATTAATTAATGGGCGAAGAATTTGTCCGGAGTTACTGGCCAGGATCAACTTGCATGTTCCAGCTAGGTCTCTAAGAAATAACGCGATTTTCCATGAGGAATGTTACCGGACTTTATATGGTAAAAATAAACCGCTAAATAGATTGTGTATGTTAGCAAATTCATATGCAAATCGGTGCGATTTCTTTCATTCTTCTGTGGGCATTTTTATAAACTCTCATAAGAGAGGTAGAGAGATTTGTTTGACAAAGAGATTATCTGATCTCCGTGTTTTGTTTATTGACCTCGTATTAGGTATTATTTATTTTCGAGAGCGTTCTGAGCGATCCTTTGTCTATCGGAGAAACCGAAAACACATCTCTGCTCGATACACGAAGGTAACGCCGATTGGTCCGATATTTCGGGTGGGAAGGTTTTTAACGCCGGGTATATATATGCCGACTTTTGGGAATCGTGACAGAGGTTGTACAGCTTGAACATCTTGAGTCAGATCTTCTCTTAAACATACGAAAAGACACTTCTTCTCTTTGACTCGGAACGGACGGCGAAGTTGGAACTCTCAGCTCGGAAGGATTGAAATCGTTCACGGCACGACTTGAAGACATATAAGTTTCGTAATAATATATATATACATGCTTAACGTTGGAATAAATATTCAGACTTGATCTATCCTGACTACACAATACAATCTCCCGATCGAGAAGATTATCCTATCCTATCCTTTATAAAAAGAAAAGAGAAATCTCATCTTCGTCGCCTACAACATCAGAAGTGGGATCGTGGCACACCCTGGCGTTAGAAGAGCCTTGAGATCCAACAAGAGAGTCGTTCGAGATGGAGCCGGGAAACGAGATGACCGTGTTTGGTTTGAAGGACGCTCTTCGTCAACGAGGACTGACCACGAGTGGAACAAAAGCCGAATTAATCAAGCGGTTGAACGATTATAATCCGAACGTGTGGAGAGAATTGGAAGAGGCGCAGGGAAATGCGCGGCGGGAGGTTTGCTCGAGTCCTGGATGTTCGCGTCAAGTCGCAGAGGACGGCGGAACATTGACGGCGGGCGAGGAGGCACGTGCGTCGGAGGACAGGAGCTTCGCGGCATTGAACCCGGAGGAACGCGTCGTCTTGATGAGGCAGGAGTTGGAGCTATTGAAGCGTGAAAAAGAATGTTGGCGGAGAGAGCGGGAGTTGATGCGGCGGGAATTAGAAATTACGCGAGGGTCCCCCGCAGTAGGAAGCAACGCGGCATCGGAGGGCAGCGTTACATCGTTGACAGCAGGCGGCGTTAGAAATATTAGAGAACTGTTGCCCGAATTTGACGGATCTGAAAATACTTTTTGGAGATGGAAGCAGCAACTTCAATTATTGAAGCATACTTATAATTTGGACGAGAATGCTACACGGATATTAATCAGTTCGAGATTAAAAGGACGTGCCTTCGCTTGGTTCTACTCAAGAGCCGAATACCTTGTGCTGAGCATGGAAGAATTGCTGAAAGAAATGGAGCAGATGTTCGACCTACGTCCGGGCAGGCTGGCAATGAGAAGGGAATTCGAATCGCGAATCTGGAGGGCTGGTAAATCATTTTGTGATTATTACCATGACAAGATGATCCTAGCTAATAGAGTACCGATCGTAGAAGACGAAATCCTAGACTATATCATCGAGGGCGTATCGGATCAACAATTAAGAAACCAGGCGCGTATGCTGAATTGTCGAGGAGGGATCGATCTACTCAAGGCGTTCGAAAAGATTCAACCTGAAGGAAGGAAGGCGAGTGATGCCAGGACGAACAAGGATGAATTGAGAACCACCGGCAGCAGGAGGACTGAGACGCCGGCGGCTGGAGGAGCGAGAGAGTGTCATCGGTGTCATGAGGTGGGGCACCTTGCGGCCCAGTGCAAAAAAGTGCCGAATAAAAAAACGTGTTTTGTGTGCGAGTCGACGGAGCATTTTGCGAGGGAATGCCCGAGACGTGGTCAGGCTTCGACATCGGAGGCGGCGAGAGACTTTGCGCGCGCCGCCACGATGAGTGTGGTGCACCCGGTAGATCTCCCGAAGCCCTACACGATGCGCGTGAAAATTACGCCTTTGAACGCGAAAGACAAGTACGTGTATATAGTAGACGCGATGGTTGATTCGGGGTCACCAATTAGTCTTGTGCGTGGCGATGTGATTCCGTGTGAATCACATTTTTCTAATGTAAACGAGCGATCATTCTGCGGCATTAACGGGTCACGATTGAAAATTGACGGTACTTTTCGCGGACAATTGGAGGTTAGCGGCGTGCGAGTCGAGATAAAGTTTCACGTGGTACCGTATAATGCAATAGAGTTTGATGTTCTCCTTGGAAGAGATTTTTTAAACTGTTCGCAATTGCATGTTACGATCGGAGAAACATTTAAAATCGAGAGCACCGAAGAGATGCGCGCGATTAACGCATTAATGCACATCGACTGCGATAACAATTCTATTCACGCGTGTGACGAGCTGAGGATTAATCCTACGATCGGAGAGGATGCGTCGGCACAAATCAAAGAAGTATATAAATCAGGTAATCTCGGGAAAATGCGAGTAGACGAAAATATTGCTTCTGTTGTTGATTACCCGGTGCCGCGAAACGCCAAGGACGTACAACGTTTTGTCGGACTGGCTAGTTATTGTCGCCGGTTTATTCCTAATTTCTCTCTGTTAGCGAAACCATTGTACGATTCCATAAGAAAGAATGCGATATTTAAATTCGAATCTCACGAAAATGCGTGCGAAAAGATATGCGAAGCGCAGCGAAAGGGCGCCGAACGTTATAATTTGCGCAGAAAAGCGGCCCATAAATATAGCGTTGGCGATTACGTTGAAATACGTAATGTAGAAACGGCGGCCGGAATAAATAGAAAACTAATATCAAAATATAAAGGCCCGTATATCGTGGAAAAAATTCTAGATTGCGATCGTTACGTCATCACCGATGTTGACGGGTTCCAGCTAACGCAGCGGCCCTATACAAGAATACGAGCACCGGATTAAATGCGCCCGTATATACGTGCATGATTTTGTATGATTATTTATATTGTGTTTTGTAATTTTATAATAACGTTGACCGGGACGGTCAAAAAGTCAGGGATGGCCGAGCTGTGGGCATTTTTATAAACTCTCATAAGAGAGGTAGAGAGATTTGTTTGACAAAGAGATTATCTGATCTCCGTGTTTTGTTTATTGATCTCGTATCAGGTATTATTTATTTTCGAGAGCGTTCTGAGCGATCCTTTGTCTATCGGAGAAACCGAAAACACATCTCTGCTCGATACACGAAGGTAACGCCGATTGGTCCGATATTTCGGGTGGGAAGGTTTTTAACGCCGGGTATATATATGCCGACTTTTGGGAATCGTGACAGAGGTTGTAGGGGTAAACAATATAGTGATTGGCCACTTAAGCAAGATCGCAAAACAAAAACCGAATTATGAACCTGAATTCAATAATTTAGAGAAAAAAACCACTAGTACTAATCTCTGTGAAAAATAATAATAATCCATAATAAAATAAAATCCATCATAAAAATTTAGGAATTAATAAAAATTATGTAAAAAAAACTCTCTTGTCAAAAAAGATAATCATTGGCTATATTAACACAGTTATTGTACAACAGTGCGATAGTGATTGGCCTCTATCCATGCTAGAATGAGTAAATATATATATATATAATTAAAGAGTGACAAAAAATTATTTAGCATCAAAAAACCAAAATTATTAAATCAATATATATTTTATTACATATATTTAACATAAGATGAACATATTAATTAAAATATAAACAAGAGAAACAAATTTTGTTTAACAAGTATAATATTATTTTAAACTAAACGAACTTTCTTTGAAAATATTTCATTTTTCAAAATTTTTGGTTTTAAAATTGCCTGATCCTTTTTCCTCGTTTTTTTTGGTTTTTCATCAATATTTTCTTTATTGTCAACTTTCTCTTTTTTAACTTTCTGTAACATCGTTTTTTTCTCCTGTTGTTTTTGTAGTCTTGCTAATTTTTTTTGTTCTTTTAACTTTTCAGCTATTTTTTTCTTTTCTAACATTTGTTGTTTTTTATCATCCTTTCGTTTCTTTTCCATTTTTATTCGTTCTAATTTTTTCTCTTCATTTAATTGCCATTTAAAGGATGAAATCGCATATGATGTTCGTTCGGTAAACTTTTTTCCTTTGCGCGTAGGTGTTACTGGTCGTGGTAAAAAATCTTTCAGTTTTTTAGAACAATCTTTACGATGACTCAGAGACAAATCAAGTACTTTATTATCTTCAGTCTTATCGGCTGCTAGATTCAATTCTAAATTATTTATATTATTATTATATGAAGTTTTATTATATTCAACAATATTATTTATTTCTAAATTATTAACATTGAATTTAGGCTTACCATTTGCTACAATAATATTATTTACTCCTAAATCATTCGTAACATTACTTTCAATTTTATCAATTATTGCAATATTATTTAATTCTGAGTCATTTATAATATCACCTTCAATTTTATTAGTTGTAATCTTATTATTTAACTCTAAATCACATAGTATAATATCACATCCAGTTTCATCAATTGCAATACTATTTATTTCTAAATTATCTGTAATTTTACTTTCATCCTCATTAATAGTCAATATATTATTTAACTTTAAATTTTCTATAATATTATTAGTATCAGTCTCATCATTTATCGCAATAATACTATCTAACTTTAAATTATTTTTAATATCACTCTCAGTTTTATCAATTTTATCAATATTTGACTCTAAATCACCTACATTTGACTCTAAATCAACTACATTTAACTCAAAATCACCTACATTTGACTCTAAATCAACTACATTTAACTCAAAATCACCTACATTTGACTCTAAATCAACTACATTTAACTCAAAATCACCTACATTTGACTCTCAATTACCTACAATATCTGTAGCTAATTGTGCATCATAATTATTTGTTGAATTTGATACTTTTGTATATTCTTCAAACAATTGATGGACAATTGATTAAAAACTCTGTTGACTTGCTTTCTGCTGTGACTTGCTGAGAAGGAAATAATTGTAATTCTTTCAATAAGTCATCTCCCACTACTTTGGCATACGTTTCAAATGAAATTGTGGCTGCATTAGATGGACGATCAATAGTGATAATATTTTTGGTCTTAACACCAAGACATTTTGAGTAATCTACTGCATCTGGATTCCAAGGATATAAGCCACATGCTTTGAAACCATTTCTTATGGTATTACCATCAGGTGAAAATTTATCAACAGCATTTTTCAAAAGTGGAGCCATTCTATCTAATGATAACGATAGTGTTGGATTTTGTTGCCTCCATTCTAAAACACTTTTTTTCCACATATTCTTTAAAGGTCTAAATGCTGAGACATCAGCAGGTTGTAACATTCTTGTTGAATTTGGATATAAACAAATAAGAATTATCTCTAATTCTGAACAAAGTTTGCTTACTTCTAAAGTGACATGACTACTATGCCCATCGACAAATAAAATAACAGGAAACACAATCTTTTCTTTTTTGAGATAAGGATAAAATACATTTTCTAAATATTCATAAAATAATTCTGCATTCATCCAACCACTTGGTGTAACACCGATTCCCCAATCATCAGGTACTGATCGTCCAACAGAGGCAGGTAATCTTTTGTAAGGAAACACAACAGTCGGTGGAGTTGTTACTCCACTTGCACTAAATGTAAATAATACAGTCAAATTTAACTTAGAGTTTCCTCTATCAATTTCATAAACATTTCGTGCTCCACGAGGAGCTATCACATTTTTCATCTTTGGACATACCATAAAGTACGTTTCATCACTATTAAATATACGTGTTGGATCTTCCAAAATATGTAAGTAGTTATGTTCTGCCAAATAATTATTGTATATATCTCTTTAAACCAATTTTTAATATCATTTTTACTAACACAAGAACTAGCATTAGTAACTCCTTCTGGATGTCTTTCAGTAAGAATTGGGTTTCTTTTTAACAAACTTTTATACCATCCATTCCCTGGCATGTTATTACGAAAAGGATTTTTTTTCTTTGTTTGATCCAAAAATTCTTTGACACTAGTTTGTACGTTAATTTTTCTCATAGGGAATCCTTTCCGTTGGCAATCAATAATCCAATTTACTAAATCGTCTTCTCCACTACGACCTAATACAGGAGCTGGACCTGGAGTTGTTTTTACAAATGCATTACTCATTCTGAACTGGATAGTCGATCTTGGGACACCATATTGTTTTGAAGCTGCATGTTTTGACATTCCATTTTCTATTGCATGAATAGCATCTTCAATTTGTTTTTCACAATATTTTTTTTGGTACTTGTTATCTTTCTTAACTTTTGGCATTTTGTTCAATTTAGAAATTAATTCTAAAAATTAAAAATTTGTAAATTAAGAATTTTATCAATTATTATAATTTGTATTATAAACTGATTTATTTATAATAAATTATTTGTTTCTATTTTATAATGATATAATACTAATACCCTATAGTATTGAATATTTTACTTACAGCTGACTGAAAAGTAGTATATTTTCTAGTAATATCAAATTATTGTTTTAAAGATGTTTTAACAATCCATTTTTACGACTGCATGAATAGTACTAATCTTCAATTTGATTTTCAAAATATTTTTGTTAATTTTTTTAACTTTTGGTGTTTTTTTTGATAGATTAATTTTAAAATATAACCTAAAAATTAAAAATTTTTTTAATAAAAAATTTTATCAATTATTATTTTTACATAAATTTATATATTTTTAATAAATTATTTCTTTCTATTTATTATGATAGAATATTGAATATTTTATTTACAGCTGAAAAATATATCTTTTTAGTAATATAACAAATAAACTTACTGTCTTATCTGTCACTCGATATAAGGGGCCAATAACTGTCACACAGTTTCCATAACCACAAAACAATCATTGGCCGAGTGGCCAATTACTGTTGTAAAACGTCAATCGTGTGTTAGTCGTTGGCATAGTTATAATTTTTAAAATATATATGTATTTTTACCGATACGAATTTTTTTTACACAATTTAAACTTTATTAATGCATGTATATCACGAAAACAAAAATTATATGTCATAAAAACATTTAAAAATTTGCAAATCGTTGGCTCACTCTTACGGTTTTTTGATTGAATGGCAACAGTTTTCAAAGTATGTTACCAAAGTCATTTTATTCATTATTTATATAAATTGCAATACATAGAAAATAATTAAATATTAATTGTATTTGAAGCAGAAAAATGTATTAAACATTTTTTTATTTATAATTGAAAATATTTTAATAGTATTTCCTTATAATCTTTAATTTTTTAAAATGTAGCCAATCATTGTAGAGTGGCTAATAACTGTACTGTTTACCCCTACAGCTTGAACATCTTGAGTCAGATCTTCTCTTAAACATACGAAAAGACACTTCTTCTCTTTGACTCGGAACGAACGGCGAAGTTGGAACTCCCAGCTCGGAAGGATTGAAATCGTTCACGGCACGACTTGAAGACATATAAGTTTCGTAATAATATATATATACATGCTTAACGTTGGAATAAATATTCAGACTTGATCTATCCTGACTACACAATACAATCTCCCGATCGAGAAGATTATCCTATCCTATCCTTTATAAAAAGAAAAGAGAAATCCCATCCTCGTCGCCTACACTTCTGAACATGAGTTTAGGCGTTCTGTATTGGCGTGCATCAGCCGACAGGTTGAGGAAGCAGTCAAATAGAATTTTCAAATATTTGGATGCGTGCATGCGTTTGATTTCTGATCGTAATCTTGGCCTTAATCTTGATCTTGCTCTTAGTCTTAATCTTTCCGCATAAGTATAATCTATATTTTTTGTTTTGTTTTATTTCTATTAATCTTTATATATTTGTATATGTTTTATGTATTTTTTCTTTTTTTTTACTTCTCTTTATAAGCTTGTTCGTACTAGAGGGACTTTTCCCGTTTACATGAATAAATAAATAAATAAATAAATAAATAAATATACCAAAAATAAGAGAAGTTTTCGAGTTTTTTTTATTTATTCCGTGTTATCCGAGTTTTCGCTTATCCGAGGTACTTCCCCACATTACCTCGGATAAACGAGGTTTTACTGTACTAATACAATTTGGTATTTAAAATGAAATAACTGAGTAATTAAATATATTAAAAATAAAATATATATATGTATACATATATATAACGAAATAACTTCAGGTATTAAATATCTGATTAAAAATATAATAATTTAATATTCAAATCATGAACAAAAATTAAATGTTCTTACACGTTCTATTAATGCACAATGTGATTAAAAATTTTTAGTCGTGGTTTCATAATATAAAAATAAAAATCTCATTAATACTAAATATTACAAAAGCAATTAATTTTTCCATGACTAAAAAAATGTTTTAACGTAATTAAATTTTTCTTTGATTTCCTGTGTAAAACCATCTTTGTATTTTTGACTTTACTGTTTTTAGGTCACTTTTTGGATGGTTTTTCAGAACAGCGCCTGCAATTTTTATTTATAATTTATTTCCTATCTATTATTTTAATAAAAAAAACTAATTTCTATAAAAGTATACTTACAGTAAACAGTCTCCATAATTTTACTATTTGCTAATGCGATCTTAGTGTCCTTAGTACCTCTCCAGCTTATTGTTCTTGCCAATTTATTACTTATTAGTAATTTTGATACCAAATATACAGCACTTTGCCAGTCATTACCTTGACTGATCGTGCGATCCGCAAAGTATTGTACCTAAATCATATTTATTTAACAAGTATGTTTGAGTATGTACAAAGAACAAAATCATATAAATTATAAATAAATCTTATTTACTTTAAACATACCGCTGTTGAGAAACTTGTACCATTATTTAAAAACTCTTCAAATTTGTCATATTCGTCAATTGTGTTTAGAGGAAGCGCTAGAAAGTTATCTGGTCTTAAAAGAAGACTTTCTTCTGGTAATAAATAAGTAAGAATTTTTGTTGTGTTCATTATTACAAAGTCGAGTTTGCTACTTATTTCTTGAAGCAACTCTGTCTTAATTTGATTTATGGCAGCAGCAGTAGTGTTATCACCTAATTATTAATACAAGCAGAAATTATTAATATAAAGTATTATTAGTTAATAAAATTTTAAATAATCTATATATATATATGCTTACTTGATCGATTATTTTCAGAAGACTATCTACTTTAACGAAGCTTACACCTTTCACTGTCCATTCTTGTAAATTTGTTAATAGATACAATTGCTTTTGATCGTCATTCTGAAGAAAATTATTTTGATTTTCAAGATTTTTTTCGAAAATTTCACCATTACTACTTAATACTTCATGTTTACTATCATCGCTACTGTAAATATTATTGTTGTCTATTTCAAATTTAAGCCTATCAGAATTATTACTATTTATATTACTATCAACTCCATTAGAGTTATCTGTGTTAATACAAAAAATATTGTCATTTCTATTCTCACATCGATAAATATTAACACTAGATGTACTACTATTGTCACTATCATTAAACAATTGTAAATTAATATGCCCTGGAATTCTCTTCGCTTTAAAGCCCAATTCAGCCACTCTAATTTTCTGCATTACTTCCTGTCTAACATATCTTGCTCTACGACGTTTACTCTATAAAAATTATTGATATAAGATATTAGATAAAGATATTGATTAAGACTTAAATTCTGTCTGCAAACCACATCTATCTTTGTTTGATAACATTAGAAGTGAGAAATCCATGCCAAAAATTAAATTCTTAATATATATGTTAATATAGATATAAAATAAAATAATAAATATAGATATAAAATATGAAATAATAGTATATTGTGATACAAGTGCGACAATTGCCAACTCGCACGTGTATCACATACTACTTTATATCATGAGTGCGAACTATGTGGAATGAGAAGGTGGAAGTAGGCGAGGGAATAAAACGCAATGGAGGGGTCCAGGGGGCGAAGCCCCCTGGCGGGGGGCCTGCGGGGGGGCGGAGCCCCCCGCAAAAGAGAAAGCTTTATGAAATATAAAGAGATTTTATTTATATCTTGTTTTTACAATGAAATAATAGGCAAGCAAAATAAAAATAAGTCTTAATTTTCTTCTAATAGAAAATAACAAAAATAAATAAATAAAATAAGGTAATCTTTGGTTTCTTTGATAAGTATTACCTAACATATATTGTAATATATGTTGTCATCAACGATTAAAGCTGGCAGTCAAAAAGGTAAACCAGTCATAAGTATTCATATAGCATTTTAAATATTTAGACGAATCGCCGAGAGCGAGACAGAGCTAAGCCACACAGATTAAGTTTTATAGAAGATAGATCAGCATACATATATATAACATTTTCAGGAAATAACAAAAAAATAAAAATAAAGTAAATTAATCTTTATTGGTTTTTTTAATAAGTAATAACAAAATAAAAATGAAAATAAATTAGTCTTTTTTCCTTCAATAGACATGTTGTGTTTTGAGAAAATGATCTTATATTTTTGACAGTTGTCCGGGTTATAAATTTGTTGTATGCAGCTGTATATTTTTCTTTTGATTTTTCAGGCAAGAGATTTTCTATGGTGTTTCTTGCCATTTCTGTAATTTCTGGAGGTGATTCATTTTCACTGTTGTCAAATGTGATGTTCGATGTCATATTGGTTTTTTATATTGACTCGTTTCAATTAGATTGATGCAATGCAAAAGACTGGAATGGGGACGTAGTGGCGGTTGCGCGCTGCGAGATGGCGTTAGGAAGAAAGTGTTTGTAGCGATTGTAGCATTTGCAGCGTGAAATAATGAGCTTGTAGCGTGAAATAATGGGTTTGAAGCGTGAAATAATGAGTTTGAAGCGTGAAATAATGGGTTTTGAAGCGTCTGTAGTGTGTTGCGTGTGAAAATGGCTAACTTTGCGAACGGAAAACAGTGCGCAAAATAGGCATTTACGCGCACGCATGATATAAAAATGTATATATTCGCATAAGATGACACTTATTGGGTATTTTCTTATTATAGTGGCACAAATTGATACAAGCTGACATAAGCATTATTCTGTCTTTTTCAATATTCAATATAAAAATAATAAAAGATATTAGAATAATACTTATGTGTATGTTAGCTCATGTCAACTTGTGTCGCTATGGAACATACCCATATTGTAATCACTTTAGCATATTTATAACATATATTTTTCTTTTTATTTAAATCAAATAATCAATAAATAGCTAAAATAAAATATGCAAATATGCTGTAAAATAAAATATAAAAACATCATGAGAGAAAATAAATTATAATATGATTTCTTATTTCTGATGTCAAAAGCAAAGTTAGAATATTAAAATGCATTAATTCTAATAAAGGATTGCATTAAATGAATTTTATATGTTATATTAATATAAAATATGAGTATTTGAATGCAAAGCGTAAAAATATTAAAAGCAAATAAAATAGTATTTTTTTGAAAAAAGCTCACATGCCATCTAGTACACGTGCAATATTTTCATAAAAAGTTTATTATACTTACAGGTTTATCAGTCATATTAGAATTTTACAATATGCGCACATGTATGATGATATATCAGGAATCGTAATTATATAATCACTTTTTTTGAATAAAATTCTGAGCACATCAAATAAAATTCACGAATAAATACGACAGACAAAAGACTACATGAGCTGTGATCGGAACGCAGCCATGAGATGCGACCATATGGCAGATGATGCAAAATAGCGAGAAAAATCACGCAAACGCATTATAAGTTTGTGATCTGTTCGTCTTTGCTGCGCACGCGCATTATATCCAGCAAACACAGTATATAAATGTTATATACTTAAGCATGTTACATGTAACGTATATGTTAGTTGTAATTTCCCACTCATAGATGTAACATATTTAATATTACATATATTACATTGTAGTTATATTGTCATTATATCCCAAGATAGCACTGACTTATCAATACATCAATGTACTATTTGGTATATACTTACAATATAACTACAATGTAATATATGTTATATTAAAATGTTACATCTATGAGTGGTAAATTACAACTAACATGGATGTTACATGTAACGTACACGTTATATTACCTGTTATATTCTGTTTTATTACAGCAATGTAACAATTATATATCGGTGTTTGCTGGGTATATATATAGCTTACATTTTACTTCTCTCATTTTGACTGTTATATGATCTTTTGTTATTCTTTCATGTAATTTCATTCAACAAATCATGTAATTTGTAATAATATATTATTATACACATCACAAATATTATAAAACTGCATGTCATAAATCAGTCATTGCAAAGTAAATCTTGATGTCAATCATTTTATGACGTAAAATTTATCATTTTAACGTCACATTGACGTTTTTGTGATTAACTTGTTCTACTTGGGTTCAAGTCCCTGTTAACACAGAGCCTGTATATTGTGGACCAAACAACTTGAGGAATAATTTTACTTTTGATAGGACTACACTTTCTGCAAATTTTAGCGTGATTGGAAAACTTTGAAAATTTGGGTGGATTACTTCATAAATAATACCCCATATGTATGTTATATATATTACTTCTGCAGATAATATATTTTATATAAATAAAATAAGTATAAAAAATATTAAAAATATAATAAAAGAAGAATTTTAATAATCAATATAAAAACAAGTAAGAAAACGCGAGTTAGAAAAAAACGCAAAAAGTAACGTGTCATCAGTAACTTTCAATATATTTTTTTCTAATGTTTCATTTATTCTTTTCAATTAATTTAAAAAAAATTAAATTTAGTAAAATTTATTCTGTTTATAATCTATAATATTACAATAAGTGTATATATAATAATTCATTAATAGTGGATAATTAAAAATAAATAATTTTGTTTAGTCATTTAACATATTGGATGAGTTTATCATTTTTATTGCAGCCAATTATCTATTGCTATAAAAATATGTACATTCAGCAAACAGAACGAATCCGTTTGATTAACATTAAATTACCTGATTTACAATAGAATATCTTTTTATTCTAAACGTCGCTCTATTTAGATAATACTGCTCTTAGGATTTCAGATTAGGATCTCAGAATTATATGTGTGGACAGGGTGTGAAATTCAGAGGTCAACCGGTTGACGTTTTACCATCTCAAGGTCGTATTGACACAATTAATTTATATATGCTTGAATATGATTCAAATTCTAAAAAAGGTTAAATGATATTTTATTTTAATTTATGTCAGGTGTATTTTAATGTTTATACACGGTTTAATGAGCGTTTGTGTTATGCGATTTATGTAATATTTTAAATGACTATTATATAAATTGTCATTCTATGATTTAATATTTCGTAAATGTGATATACGAGGTGTGTTCAAAAAGTATCGCGAATTTTGAATTTCCGCGGGTTACGTATATTCGATTTTCGATTTTTTTGTGGCGTTATGTTGGTACTCATGTTTCTCATTTATGCCGACAAGTACGGCCATTTTGAATGTTCAGTTAATTTTTGACAGCTGCTTTGCTTGCACGTGTTTTGGCTCGTCTTCGATTTTTGCCTATTCCAAAAAATGGATCAAAGAATCTGTATCAAATTTTGTGTGAAAAACAAAATTAAGTGCGCGGACGCATTCCGAATGTTGACTGTGGCATATGGTGAAGCTACCTTGGACCGAAGCAACGTTTATCGGTGGTACAAAATGTTTTCCGAGGGCCAAGATGATGTGAACGACGAAGAGCGTGCCGGACGCCCGAGCACGTCAACAACAGACGAAAACATTGATGAAGTAAAGAAAATAGTATTGGTCAATCGTCGAATCACCGTTAGAGAAGTTGCTGAGGACCTAAACATATCGATTGGCTCGTGCCATTCGATTTTTACTAATGATTTGCCCGGATTTGTGGAAGAACAAAAATTGGCTTTTGCACCATGATAACGTCCCTGCTCACACATCGTTGCTTGTGCGCGAATTTTTGGCCAAAAACAACACACTAATAATGCCGCAGCCACCGTATTCCCCAGATTTGGCCCCCTGTGACTTTTTCTTGTTCCCGAAACTGAAGAGGCCCATGAAAGGACGACGCTACGCTACGATTGAGGAGATAAAGACGGCATCGAAGGAGGAGCTGAACAAGATCACAAAAAATGATTTTTTGAAGTGCTTCGAGGATTGGAAAAAACGTTGGCACAAGTGTATAATATCTGGTGGGGATTACTTTGAAGGGGACAAAATAGATATTCATGAATAAATAAATAATTTTTGAAAAAACACAAAATTTGCGATACTTTTTGAACACACCTCGTATATTTTTCGTTTGTAATTTTTAGACTTGATAAGGACCCAAAACAAGGGTCGAAATGTCGTCCTTAATTTTGTTTGATATCTAACCAACAATAAAGAGATATTTTTTTATGCCAGTTGGGTCGTTAAAAATTATTTGATTTATAATAATTTCATTCAATGTATTTTCCCAGCAAACACCGATATATAATTGTTACATTGCTATAATAAAACGGAATATAACAGGTAATATAACGTGTATGTTACATGTAACATCCATGTTAGTTGTAATTTCCCACTCATAGATGTAACATTTTAATATAACATATATTACATTGTAGTTATATTGTAATTATATACCAAATAGCACATTGATAAGTCAGTGCTATCTTGGAATATAATGACAATATAACTACAATGTAATATATCTAATATTAAAAATGTTACATCTATGAGTGGGAAATTACAACTAACATATACGTTACATGTAACATGCTTGAGTATATAACATTTATATATTGTGTTTGCTGGTTTAATATAATAATAATAATTTAATAATTTATTATAAAGAGATGTCTTCCCCTGCCTCTTCTTCTCGGTCTCCAATGATAATTAACTGCAGATAATTTATATAAGAACAACATAAAATGATTCTCTTGTACCCGGATCTCTGCTCTTCTTCCTCTTGGTCTCTATTCTGAAAGTATCAAAGATTATATATTACAATTAATTAACTACATATACTATAATAGTATTTTGTGATTTATTCTAATTTAATGTTTCGATTACAAATAAATGAAAGAAAGCAGCATATAAGAAAATTGCTTATATATAAAATATTTATGCATTCTTTTTGCTATATATTATAAATATTTTTTACATACACTGCATTTGGATGTATTTATAAAATGACGTATCTAAATATATTATGATGTAAGAAACTTACGTCGATTAGGCTCGACTTATTGAGCTCACTGAACTGGTCGATCAGGTTGCGCCTTTTTTTTTGTGACGCTGGGGAAACCGTCATGGTACCACGCACCCCCGGGTAGGGGTGCGGGTTATGTGGGACTCCTTGTTCCCCTTGATCGAACCACGAATGGCTCGACCAGGGGGCCCAAGACCTACCTCACTAAAATCCCAGCGGGTGTCCTTCCCGGGCGTTGGATAGGGGACGGCGAGGATGCTGGTATCCCATGCCGTCTCGCCGCCCCCCCCGCCAAGCCGTCTCCGGGGAGCTGCCCCGACCTTGCGGCCGAGACCCCTCTCCGACCGCACAGTCAATGACTGTGCGGTTCCTTCGCGGTTGCGGCGCAGGGCGAACACCGGCCCCACGCCGCGCCATCCCAAAAGGTTTGGGGGCGGGGCTATGGCTCGAGAGCTCCCGCTCGAGCCATCGCCCCCCGCCCCCCTAGTGGACGCATCCCCTGGATCCCCAAGGAGGTGATCCAGTTCGGCGTTCCACTAGGGGAGCCCTCACCAGGGGTGCGTTCAGATTCCCTACCTAGGTACTTTAAGTCACTCAAACGCCGTTCAGATGCCTCCTGCTTCTGGTCAGGTGACCTCTGAGTATATCGTTCAGATTCCACCCGAACACACCCGAGTGAAGGGAAAAAGCACTCTGTTCCTGACACAGGGTGTCGGTGGGTGGATTTTACGCGCCAAGAAAACACAACGATGAATTTTAAACTCGTGGTCACGGAGACTGGTTCTCCAGTATTTTCCGATAACAAGTTGGTCGTATGGGACGTTGATGGTAAGTTATTTGTTATTCACGCTCTAAATATTCAGCTGGCCTATTCTGTGACTTTTATCGACAGTTTCATTATCGTTATAACGTTATGCAGATAGTAAAAAAGCTGCACAATGATGTTATCACGATGGCGAAACTGTATTTAAGAATTATAATACAGAATAGGCTTGCAGTTATAGTTTTTTCTTTTTCATCAATCAAAGTGATTTATTTTTCTAAATAATTTTCCAAATATTATGTGCTATGAGCTGAGCAAGGTTAGGTTAGGTTTTAATACTAATATCACAGTATAAGCAGATACTAATATTATGAACAATCCTACATATAATGATAACCGACGTTTCGATCTATATCAAATCATTTTCAATGTGATGTAATACATATGAAAATAATACAAATATAAACGGTCAATTGGTTAAAAATTAAATTCATTTGCAGATATTACTTGTCGAGGTAGAATATTTAAACAAACTATCTACCTCTGCTTCAACAATTTCCAATCTGAACAAAACTAATATTAAAAATTGAAACCTAAAAAG